TCAGAAACAAGAACGGCATTGACGAGGGTCGAGTGACAGCACTCATGACACAATTCCTGTGCAGTCACTGACGGGCAGGGCCCTGTGGCGCGGCCCAGGGAGAAGTGGTGGAGGCCGCGCTGCAGAAGGCCCCGGCTCTACATGCCCCTCTCCCCCTCTCCGGCGCAGCAGAGGGGTGCGCAGAAATGCCCTCCATACTCCACAAATGAATGCTCCGACTGTTCCACACAGGCCGCCTGGGACATCATCCAGGCACTACTTCTGAATTACCAAATCCCAAAAGAAGTTCAGAAATCTCTTTTCAAATCAGCAGAAACAGGATGGGGGGGTGGAGATTACTGTGTGCAACCTCTATGACGGTTTTTGTTTTGTTTTTTTTTTTTAAAGATTTTATTTATTTATTTGACAGAGAAAGACACTGTGAGAGCGGGAACACAAGCAGGGGGAGTGGGAGAGGGAGAAGCAGGCTTCCCGTGGAGCAGGGAGCCCAATGTGGGGCTCGATCCCAGGACCCTGGGATCATGACCTGAGCCAAAGGCAGACGCTTAACGACTGAGACGATTAACCACTGACTCCAACCAGCAACACCTGACACGCAGCACCTCACTCACACCTCGTAATCACATGGTGAGAGAGGAGCTCATACCCACTCCACAAGTAGTGTGCCGTCCCGAGGGCCTGGGCCACTCTGGCTGCATCCAAAGCCCATGCTCTTAACCGCTAGCCTCCTGACCTGCCACTCAGAAGAAGCATTTCCAGGGACGCCTGGGTGGCTCAGTTGGTTAAGCACCCGCCTTTGGCTCAGGTCATGATCCCAGCATCCTGGGATCGCGTCCTGCATCGGGCTCCTTGCTCAGTGGGGAGTCTGCTTCTCCCTCTCCCTCTGCCTGCCACTCCCCCTGCTTGTGCTCTCTCTGTCAAATAAATAAATATTAAAAAAAAAAAGCATTTCCAGAGGACAGAGAAACACAACATTTGGATGTATACCTTATATGAAGATGTCTTAAGGTGGATTCAAATGTAGAGGTGAAAGAGTCTTAGGACACCAAGCAAAATCCCATAGAAAGAGTGCCCTATGGATAGAGCAGGGATTGATGAAGGACCAGACAGTAAACATTTGGGGCTAAGTCCCTGTGGCAACTACTCAGTTCTCACCATTATAGTGCAAAAATAGCCACAGACAACAAACAAAGGGGTGAGAAGGGTTCCAAACACTTTACCTCTAAAAAAAGGAGGCTCAGCCAAGGCGAGCTTGCTGCCCAGGCCTGAGACCATGGGAGTCCCGCGGAATTGTTGAGTCAAGGAGACACACGACCTGACTGATGAGTATTTTAGACTGAATTATGGGAATTACCAAAAGATGGAATCAGCGTGCTTTAGATGTCCTCTACAATCCTGGTTTTACCATGCTTCTGTTATTCCAGTTGTTATGAACAAATGGGAGTGGTTCTGTTTCAATCAATGTTTATTTATGCAACCTGACAGAGGTTCAAATTTGACCCACAGGTCACAGTTTGCTGAACTCTTCTGCTCTAGGATCTCATGTCAGGGATTCTAAAAAATCAGTAATAATCTGAAGTCAGCTACTAGGATTCTTCAAATACCTGCCCCAGCTACTGAAGACACACTTATAGCATCCTAAGAGGCTCTGATTGTGCCAAATGGGGATGGGAGAAAGAAGGTGTTTTCTCTCTCTCTCTCTTTTTTGGTCTAATAATGGGATTGACTCAGAGCAGACACAGATCCCAGCCATCCGGGATCAGCTCTTCGCTCTCTCAGGGCAGGCATCTAGGCATGCTCTGTACATGGGCTGGCTGTGACAGAAAAAAAGAGATTGCAAACCACTGGCTCAAGCACCTTCATCCCCACTGTGCCATCCCAGCTAAACCACTGAATATCCTGTGGTCTTTGCATCTCCTGACATCAACCACCAGAGCTACCTGGCTGTTGACATGCCCACCCCTGGTACTGATCGACTCCAGGGGAAGCACACACCATCAGAAAGGCTCTCCAGCTTCCCATGACTGGCCCTGGACCACATCATCTTGCTCAATTCCAGTCGCTGGTGCCCAAAACTGAGAAATGGAGGCCAGGCTGACAAATTTTTAATAAAACTAGCAACCTGCTTGGGAACATCCCTAACAAGATGCTCTTTGTGTTTTCGGTTTCACTCTTAGTGTGGCAGTCCTCCAAGGTGGAGGGGAGGCAATTTTGCACCCCACCCCCCATGTCTGGACACATTTTTGATGGTCACAACTAGGGGGGTGCTACTGGCATCTAGGGGTACAGGCGCCAGAGATGTTGCTCAGCATCCTACAGCGCATGAACAGTCCCCACAACAAAGATTTATCTAGCCCCACATGCCAAGAGTGCCCACGTGACAAACCCTGTTTTAGTGGGATTTCGCCACATGATGGTCCCAGTGCGTCGAGCACATATGCACAGTCCAATTAAATTCCACAGACTCAGCCCCAAAGAGCACTTTGATTGACATGCTGAGTCGATGAGATGCAAGAGAAACGCAGCAGCGTGTGTTACATCTGCCGATGGGGCCTGTTGGGTTGTTTCTTTGCTGTTTTTGAGAAAAAGAAGAATGACTTTGCTAAGGTTCACCTGTGAAAGGAGGAAGCTGGAACCCAGTTTTGTAGTTCCTCTGAGCTCCAAACTCCTACGTGGTGGCCAAAATTCTAACAGACTACTCTGGCGTTCTGCTAACTTTCTACAGCATATAGTGTCTGCAGGGTTGAAAGTTAATACCGCATTACTGCTCCCGAGAACGTCGAGGAAGCCTAGCCTAGGAGATGTTCGGCAGAAAAAAGGAAATACGAACACTCAAAACAACTAGGAAAACTTAAAGTCTACAAGTTTACCATGTGTGGGGTTTCTTCTTTCCCCTGGAAAAGGTTTGACAGACTGAGATCAACAGAAGGAGGAAATTACTAACAGACGACTCCTCTCTCCCCCAAAATATTTAACATGGAACGTACAGAACCAGAAACTTAAAAATGGCATCTATTTTACTGGTTATATTTACTTGTTGCACATGAATGACATTAATGGTGACAGTTTTATTTATTCTTTCTGATGGTTTATCTATGGTATTTGAGAAATATTACAGAAGACTGAAGTCAATGAGTAATTTTCAAATGCACCCTCTGAAAAACCACTTGGTTTTCAGTGTGGGTCCTCAAATTGGAGTCTCATTTTCTTAATCCATCAGATCGAAGAAAGAGGGGGGACATTTATTTAGACATGTTGAAAGCCAATGCCTATAGACACCGCCAAACTGAATAGATTAAAAGCAGACAAGTGTGATCATTCCAACAGGAGGCTCTGAAAAAGAATTTCCACATCGTGTGTTAAAAGCAACCATTTTCAGGGCGCCTGGGTGGCTCAGTCGGTTAAATGTCCGACTCTTGGTTTCAGCTCAGGTCACGATCTCAGGGTATTGAGATCGAGCCCCGTGTTGGGCTCCTCTCTGGGCCCGGGGCCTGCTTAAGACTCTGTTCATCCCCTTGGTTCCCCTCCCCACCCCACCTCTCTTAAAAAAATAAAAATAAAAAAAAAAGCAACCATTTTCTCCTTACCAAAAATTTATATATGAAATTTAAAAGTAACCAAATTTCCTGGATCCTTTCAAAAACAAACAAACAAAAATCATGTAAAACTAAGTATGATTTCTTGCCTTTCAACTCAAGCTTCCAACTGCTGCTGATCATTTTCTGGAAAACACCATATGAACTCCATATACTTCAGAGTCCATGACTGACAGGTCACAAGGTGGAACACCACCATTTTCCACCTCAACCAACCCCTTTTTTGCATCTCTTTTATAGTACACCTCCGGGTCCCAAACCCTGAGGCCACTAAGGTCTCCGCTCAGTGACTAGACTTGCCAGTGAGCAACAGGACGGGCCATCTTCTAGGGATTAAGTTCTTGGTCAGTACAGGAGAGCTGGGAGGTGGGTTCCCCACAACACAGTAGGATCCAAATTTCATCTACAATTTCTGTTTTGTATTTGTGAATCTATGCTTTTTAAAGTATTTTGCATATACACATACATTTTTGTGTGCCTATATAAGATAGCAGAAAGTATACACTGAGGTGTTAATTATGGTTATTTCCTAGAGTAGTAGATTTATATGTGATTTTCTTTATTCTTGGGGGTTTTATTTTCTGCACGTCTATAGCTTCCAACTTTTTCTATATTAAGCATAACTTTGGCCAAAAGAAAAATAAGTAATATTCTGTATGTATTCTTTTTTTTTTCCCCACTCAACCTCATTTCTAAGACAGTTTTAGGTACCTGACAAAAAAAACCCAAAACACAAAAAAACATATACAGTTAGACTTCTTTCAAAGTCAGGGCAATTAGAGACAAGGGCAAGAAACAAGAGCAGTCAACTCTCAAGAAGCCAAAGAGGAAAGCTATTAGCCAGCACGTAATCGCTAGTGTCCTACGTCCTGGCTGGAGGGAGACACACACTTGGCTTGGAGTTTCTCCCCACCCGCCTTACCTCACCCTGCCCACCCCCCTCCCCCCGCCCCGTCCCAGTCCTCATTCCTCCTCACATTCCTCCCCACCCTCCTTACCTCACCCCACCCCACCTTAATTAAGTTTTGTTTAGGGAAAGATAATGAGAATATTTTTCTACATTCCCTGATCATACTCCCAGATGAGATCATGCAATCCAGAAATGTGGTGAGGGAAGAAGAGCTAGCTGCAAATCCAACCAAGAGCTCTAATAACTGTTCTGCCCCCCCACCTGCTCCTGGGGCTGGGTGTTAGTCCCTGGGCACAAGAGCTCAGAGGCTCCCCAAGGGCATGGCTTTAACTTTCTAGAAGTGTCCCTCTGCGTGCAACTCACTGCCGCAAAGGCAGTGGCAAAAGATGCACTCAATCCATGACAAAACCAAGGCGGCGAGGCTCTGGGGTCCGTTCAAGGCAAAGCCACACTCCACAAAGAAGCCGCAGGAGCCCCAGTAGCCAGGCGCTTACCGTACGCTGTCATGACGCCGGCGTACGGCCCATCCACCACATTCCGATTTTCCTCCGCCAGCGCCTTGATGTACCTCTTGCTGAGGTCCAGGATCTGCTCGCGCAGCATGGAGCTGCTCTCGGGCTGAGTTCGCTGCTGGATGGTAAAATGCAGGAGCATCATACCCCAGATGAAGCCAAAAGTCACAAGAAAAAAGCCCAGCTTCTGAGAGGACAGCTTCCACGGAGTAAAGAGAGCCATTGCTCTCCAGCAACTTCACCTGCCCTTGGCTCCTAAAACGTAGAAGGAGGACACAAGTTCATGGTGCAGGCTGGATTTGTGGGCTCGTCGGTCTCACTCTGGCTCCTGCGTCAGCCGATTTCCTTTCCTCGTTTCCATCCTGCTGTGAAGAAGGGGGCAAGTTAGCAGAGTGGTCGTGGCAAAACACAGGGAAACCAACCAGGAGCCATGTTTTCACTCAAATAGCTCCAAAATGCGAACTTCCTTTTTTCTTAATTTGCTGGTTCAATATCTTATGTTATGATTCCAGATCTGTAAGCTGAGAGGGGAAATCTGGCTAGGCGACAAAAAAGCTGCACAAATACAGAGGAGGAAATGTGTGTCTGCCTATGTTAACAGGTGTAGCAGGGCTGTTCCAGTCTGGACCAAGTTCAAAACAGGAAGCTTGCTTTGCAAGGCGGGGAGGAGATGGAAGGCTATTTCACTGAGTGTCAGCAAAAACCCAAGTGGAGGGCGGAGTCATAGCACCACCAGGTACTTCGGTGCATCTGTAACTTGAGCTTACAAAGTCATTAGTATGTGCTCTGGGGCAAGAATTAGCACATGCAGCTGGGGAGGTGAGCAAGAGAGGAGGCGTCTCCTGAGGGGTCATTAGACCAGGAAAGGGGAGCAAGCCCCCATACTATGTAAGCATGGGCAGCTTGCAGTAGCAGTATCCAGAGAGAGAGATGAGCCAAAGCTCTCAGGGCCACCAGGCGGCCTCTCCCCAGGTACCAGTGCATACCAGAGGCTATGCCAGGGATACCCAGCGGTCTTCCTGTTCCAGCTGCCATGAGTGAAAGAGGTACCTCACCACTCATTTGCACATTTAGCACAGGAAACGTGGGGCACATGATAGCCTCCTTTCCTGTAGTTCTCACTTTCACTCACACTGTGGGCAAAATGGGAGGTTAGAAGGCACAAAGGCACAGTTTCAATACTCATCAGCCAGATCCTACTGGGTGCCCTATTTGGGCCAAGGTCTTAAAGCAAGTCTTCCCAATCATAAGGCCGAAGCAGAGGTTGTAAATGGGTTACAAGTAGGCCAAACTCTCTACCCCCGAACCAGAGTCCTGGGTCCAACAACCAGCCAGGTCACAAATGGCACCATTTTCTAAGTGTGCCAGGGGAAAAGCTGAGCAATGGTCTCCAAGCAGGACTATTCAGAGGGTGCATATGTTTTCATTCTAAGTATTCTTCCTTGTAAGCAGCCTAAGAAGGAACGATGGTGAGATCTTAGAGCAATTATCTTTCAGAATCTGTAACGCGGCAGATCTGCATTGGTCTTCCTCTCTGTTTTCCTCACCTGTGAACGGCCATCAGTGGTTGGTAGTAGTGCTACGAATAGTAAATGCTAAATAAATTCTACGTATGTCCCAGGCATCGCGCTAAATGCATTTTGTGCCTTAGCTCACTGAATTCTTAGAGTCCTCGATGGGAAGAACTATTACTATCATTCTGTTTTATAGATGGGAAACAAAGGCCCAGAGAGATTAACTTACCCAAAGTCAGCCAGCTATGGGGCAGAGGGGTAATTTCGGGACAGCCAAGGACTCTGTACACCATGCCCTGCCTTCGCTACGCCACCCATCTTTCCCCACCAGCCTTCTTATCGATGGCCAACATGTGTGTGTTCAAGCTTCAAGGGTTGTAAAAAGCAACAAAGAAGAAAATGGGACAGAAATCCTATGTAGCTCAAAAGCCTAAAACATTTATTATTGGCCTTTAACAGAAAAAGATCACTGACACCTCACCTGAATTCTAGGCCAGTGGCTCTTCAAAGCACAGTCCCGAACTCCACAGCAGAAGCATCAGGGAGAAATGCGGTCTCAGGCCCCAACCCAGACCTACTTAAATCAGCAACTCTGGGGGGTCGGGGGCGGGCAGCCACCTGTGTTCCAACCAGCCTTCCAGGTGATTCTGATGCCTGCCCCAGTCTGAGCACCGCTGAGCCAGGCCCACAGATGTCGTCACCACGGCAATACCATCATGCCGTCTATACAGCCTGGTTCCAAGTCCCTCCTGCAATACCATGTCACTGCAATTCCTCCGGCCGGCCGCACGCTCCGCACCTGCTGGTCGGCTGTCACCATAACCTTGCACATCCTTCTTCATGGTCTCCCTGTGCTCACTCACGCTGCTTTCCCTACCTGGCTGGCCCTCTGCAGATCACACGGATCATCCAAACCCAGCCTGTTCCCCAAGCCCCAGCTCCACTCACACCGGCTCCAGACAGCTTCCCTACTGCTGTGGCTTATGATGTCCCTTACTAGTCCACAGTTTAAAACACCTGTCTGTCTATATAGATTGTCTGCCAGTTTCTGTGTGGGATCCCATGACATCCTATAAGGGAGCCCCCTGCCCCCCCCCCCCAGCCCATCACCACCACGTACATTGTCAGAGAAAGACGTCGGCCCCAGGGACACAATGAACCACCTGTTCACCAAGCAACGTGTCCTCCAGGCACTAGAGCTCTTTACTGGGCCCTTCCAAATGAGGGCTCCGTGAGCAGCACCTGCTCCTTTCTTTCCTCCACTCATTCTATAGCATATACTGAGCCCTTGCTGCCATTGGGCTCTGGAGACTCAACAAACAGCCCCTCGTGGGGCTGATGCTTTAAAGCCACCAAGAGAGGTGGCTTTAAAGCTGGGGGCTGCCCCTGGGTCCTTAGGAAGTGGTTATGCTTCCAGTTCGATAATCCACACCAGTGAGTCAACTGTACCGCAGGGCCAAAGGGATTTTCCCAGGGCAAGTAAATTAGACACTATACTAAAAATGACAGTCATTGGGCAATTTTCTTTTACTACTTTAAGGGAGAACCCCAAATGCATACAGGAATTACCTGTTAACTTTTAGACAGAAAACTCCACTCCACTTTGTCATTTAACCCCCTAAAGCAGCTGTTCAAGGCTGCAAGGTTGAAGCAAGGGCAGGGCCAGGTCCAAGGGCCTCAGCAGAAGGTGGTGCGCTTCTCTGCCTTGGCCTTGGGGACACTCAGAACCACCTACAGATGGCACATCTGAGTGGCAAGAAGATGTCGAGAAACCCAGCCAAGCTTAAGTTCTACCAGCTCAGAGACTTACAAATTTGGAGTGAAAAGCCCTCATTCCAAGTTCAGAAAATGGTTCTGATGACTGAGGGCCCAGATTTTAAGTACCCACAGAACTGCCAGGAATGTTCTTTTCTCCCATGGGCTCTACGGTGTGGAACAGCGGCAGCTATCTCAGCATACCCACAGCTCACACGGAGAACGGAATTAGAACTCATCTCTACAATTCCTAGTAACAGAATTTTAAAAGACTTTTCAAAACCATTACCTGGGACACACCCCAAACTCCCACAGTAATAGCGTGGGGGGCAGGGGGGCAACAGGACAGTAACCCTCACCAGAAGGTGCTTAATGATCAGAAGGGACTTAAGGATCATCATCACTGATGGCCCCAAAATTCATCAAGAGGCTGCAGAACAATAGTGATCAAAAAGCGGTGGATCTGGCTAAGAATCTGCCTGCGTCCAGACTTAGCTGGATCCTCTTGCAAAATGGAGCTGATAGGCACAAAAACACAGTCTCTCCCAGAAGGCCTTGTTGCCCACCAGAGCAATGCCAGCCCGAGCCATGATGCCGTCTGTCCTCCCCAAAGAAGTCTGCACCAAGTCTGTCGGCAATGAGCTAAGCTTCTAGGCCCCCCACTGCCACTAAGCACCCTCATCTGCACCTCCTCTATTCCTCTACTTCCTAAAAGAGCAGCATTCACTTCCCTCCTCCCCATTCACTCCTCAACACAATAAAACCTGGCATCCCCCTTTCCAGAACTGATCGAAGATCTTTGGCACAGAAATGTGTCAGTTCTCTTAATTTAAAAAGTAAAAGCGTATGAAAAGATGGGCAACATCATTAGCCATTAGGGAAATGCAAATTAAAACCCCAGTGAGATAGCAGTTCATACCCACCCAGATGGCTATACTCAACAAGAGCTCAGAACCAGTGTTGGTGAGGATGTATAGAAATTGGAACCTCTATATACTGGTGGGTGGGAATGTACAATGATGTAGCTGGTGTGGAAAATAGTCTGGTGGTTCCTCAAATGGTTAACCACAGAGTTACCATGTGACCCAGGCAATGCCACGCCTGAAATACTCCCCAGAGAAATGGAAGCCTATGCCCACACAAAAACTTGTACACAAATGGTCATAGCAACCTTCCTCATAATGTACAAATAAAAAGCCCAAACAACTCAAATGTCCATCAAATGATGGACAGGTCAAAAAAACACATACAGGGGCATACTAATAAATCAAGGGGAATAAATTAGGTTCTGATATGTGCTCCAACACAGTTGCTCTCTAAAAACGTTCTGCGAAGTGAAAAAAGGCAGGCACACAAAACTACATGTTGTATCATTCTATTTGTATGCACTGTCTACAAAACGCAAATCTATTGATGCAGAAAGTACAACAGTCGTCGTTCTGGGGTTGTGAAAACAGGGGAATTGGGAGGTGACAACCCAGCACACCGAAAAGATTCCAAAATTAATTGTGATGGATGCACAATTCTGTGGATACATTAAAAACACTGAATTATACACTTTATATGAGAGAATTATAGGATATATGAGTCATATCTCAATAAAGCTGTTACTGAAAAAAGAAAAAAGAGCAGGCCCACCTCCAAAGTTGGGGGTATGTGGAGACAGGCAGATGAGCCTCAGGGGCCCCTGCAGCCTCCGCAAGGACCCACCCCTTCCTCTCTTCCCCACAGCCCAGCCAAGGCCGGGCTGTGCCATGACTAAGGGCTGACCACAGGCCTACTAACCAAAGGAAATTACACGGAGAAATCTGCCACCAGCTACCAGACATGGCTGCTTTTAAGAGCTCCCCATCCACCTCAGAGGCCGCCCTTCAAGGCAAGGCTTGCTTTCCCTGCCAGATGCCAACTTCTCAAACCACCTAAGAACACAGAACAATAGCCCAGCTCCAGGGGAGATGGTGCAAACAAGCAGTTCCTGCAGCTGCCTATCCAACATCCTTGGAGGGACCCATTTCTTACATCAGAAGCATTCTCTTCAGACGATGAGTGAAGCTGGAAACGCCTGTCCCTTCAGGAGCAACGCCAGCCCCAACCAG